TGTCCCTTTTACGGGCAGGGACGTCGAAGCAGCCTTCCCGTGGGTTGTGCTGGGCGGCGGCTGGGCCCTGTCGTCTGCCAGCCTTCTGCGGGGAGGCGGGGGGTGGACCCGAGTGACCTGCCTCACGGAAAGGCCCCGCGCGGGCAGCCCGGCCCGCATCAGCATCAGCCCGGGTCTGCTGATGCTGCTTGTTTTGAAAGAAGGTCTAAGAAAAGGCTCTGAAAGGTATTATTATGTAAAAAAGGCAGGAAAGAAGCACCCACTTCTCAGTAAAAAAAAAAAAAAAAAAGTCTTTTCAGCGTTCCTTCTTGCTCCACCTTTTAAAAAAAGCGAAAAGCCAAAACCCACATGGATAAGGGGGGAACTACTGAGTTTCAGCCTTGCTTAGTGAATAAGGAAGCTTCTTCTGTCTTTGCAGTTTTAATCTTCCGTTTTCCTCACAACTAACACTGGCAAGGAGGATTCTCTATGCCTTCGTTTATGTGGCTGCGTGAGATTTAGTGTTGGGGTGCTTTTTGCTGTCTCCTTAGTTGTTTTGATAGGCTGATGTGGGAGTATTACGTATTGCCTAAAAAAGCAACCTTTATGTTCTGGGTTGTTAAGTTACATTTGTTAAGGTATTTTTATCCCTAGACAATGTACACATCCAGTTTGACATATATGTCTTGCCCTATTCCCTGCTCCCCATTCCTCAATTTGTAAACTCACTCGAACAATGGCCAGAGTTAAAAAAAAAAGTTGATATTCTTGTGAAAGCCCCTTCAGTATGTCTCAGTGCGAAAAGCTCACAGTTTTTCACTGTGCATGACAAATGCACATGCAGTTGTGTGCAGGACAAAAGCACTGTGCAGATGTATAGAGTACTGTAGCTCTCCACCAGTTCTCATAGCCTGTAAAACCTACTATAGAGAGCTACATATTTTTTAACTAATAATTAGGTTATGACCTGCCATTAGTTAGCTAATAATGTGTGAGAATTACTTCTGCTGTAGACTATTGTGCTCATATTTCTATACGAAAAAGACAAAGAATAGAGTGCAACCTTCTTAAGTACACTGAAACAACAAATCAAATATAACAATATATTTTAGATGTTATTTAAGAGGCTAAAGGTTTGAAAAAATGACAGCAAGAAAGGGGTAGGTTTTTGCAAGCAGCAAAGACTATATATAAATGTGTCACTAAGCAAAAAGGGAATTGGTGGGGAAACATAACGTTTGAAGTACACATGTAAGCTTTGTTGAAGATCTGGGCTACAAGTTAGTATAATATTTTGCTTTTTGTTTTTAAGGCATTTTATAAAACTACTTTCAAGAGCACGTGGAATACACTTAGTGATACTAAAAGAAGCAGTAGAGCAGTCCGGCCTATTACAGAATTATGGTTCGACTAACAATGGACCTAATTGCTAAAAACATGAGTCACAAGAATCGCAATGAAGAGGACTTGGGACAGTATCTGCGAAAAATAACTCATCTGAATTTATCAGATAAAAACATAGATGCAATTGTAAGATTTTTTTCTTTATTCTTTTTATCCTGGCTACTCAAATGTTTTGCAGTTATTGTTATGATGAGTTGTTCATAGTCAGGGAGACAAACAAGCAAAGGCAAGTTCCTATTTTATAACAGCTATATTACATGTTAACATTTATATTGACTTGCAATTAAGCCTTAATAATACATCTGTTTGGAAACATGCTTCAGCATTCACTGCTGTTATTGTGTGTCACACTGTTCGTGTGTAAAAGTGTTTAAATGGATTTTAAATGCATGTGCATTTCAAATGTGAAAATAAACTTTCAGCTGTAACTTTTCATATAAAACATCAAAGTGGGTGACTTTAACTCTAACAGTCTGCAGAGTTTCTTATTATCGAACTGACACTTTTTTCTTTATGTGGCAAAATCTTGTTGAAGTATTTTACATACCTGAAACTGTGGAAATATATATCATCTGTGTAGCAGACAAGAGGGATATTATCCGTAGGCTATTTTTGCCATTAATTAATTAAAATAGAAAATCCTTTTAAGCAGTTACACAAGAGAGATGAACTTACGTGCTAAAGTGAAGTATTTTTTGCAGTTTTTCACAGAACTGTTACAGAAATCTGCAGCTCTAAAAAAAAAAAAATCATATTGCTAAAAATCAATTTGCTATTTTGATTATTTTGTACAGTTGCTACAAGCTCTCAGGAAGTCGCCAGAATGGAAATGGTAACTCTGCTTTAGCCACTTAAGAAAGAGAAAATTTCAACTTAATCATTTAGACCTGGCAGTTTTCCTATAGAATATAGGCAGGCTGTTGCCATTGGATCAGTAGGCGTAGGGCTTTGACAGCAGTGCTTTAACCCTATTGAAATCTAGCTATAGTCTTCTTGGAGACTTTAGATCTGAGGCAAAAAAATAAAGTTCGTATTTTCAGCAACAATTTGGATTTTATTTTAAAAAATTTATTTGTATTTATTGATGGTTAACTTTGTAAACATGCAAACTGTAGAATAGAAGATAATGTCAGGAACTAGTAATTTTACAGGTCAGTTTGTTTTTTTAAAAAGTAGTAATGATATTACATACAATTAGGTGCAACACTCATTTTATTCTCGTTAATGCTGTATTTTTTCTAGACTTGGGAATTTTACAAAGAGTTGTTAACTCGCAGCACAATCTTTTCAATCTATCTGTGATTTATTCCTTAGATTTCAGAGGAAGTCTGAAAAAGGAAAGGGGAGCTCAGGAACAGGATATAAGCCAAGTGAGGTTAACAAATTTGGACTGATGTAGTGGCTTTTTCAAATTAGTCAGGTTAAAATCTACTTTTTTTTAAAATTGCTCCCTGGGGCTTATTAATTTAAAAAATAATCCATGACCTTTTCATTTTCAAAGGCTAAACCTGCAAACTTAACCCAGTCTCTCCTTCCTTTGAGTTTAATAATAGGAAATTTATACAGGTTTCAAGTCCTGAGTTAATTCAAACCCCCTCAAGATACCGAGCACATTTTGAAATGAACACCTGAATTGTTGTGTATGGTGGATTTCTGCTTTAAAAGTGTGATTTCAGTCAAGAAGATTAAATAGCTTGTTCTATGTGAACAGATCCATGCAAGCAAATGGGTTTATTCAGCCTGCTCCCAGGAATGTGCGCAGCCATAGGAAGTTACTAATTTGATCAGTACATTTGGTTACGACTGGTTCATCAGATGCCATAGAGAAGTTTTACAGAAATCCTCATAAGAAAGTGTGATCTTTTAGTTATTTAAGGAGAATACATCAAAGAAACTTGGCATTTGAGTGGAATCTTAGACTTGGAAGTGTATTAAAATACATTGAAGTGCAAGTTTTTGCATAAATCAATATTCCTGTGCCAAGAATTTTTTTCTATTACATCACTGAAGTTTGATGGAGACAACACTAACAATTGTGCTTTTCTGAAATCCACCTGATGAAGGCAGGGAAGGGAATGAAGTCACACGGGATGTGTGATGTGATGTACTTGCTGGTGATGGCTGTAGTCCTCAGCTTCTGTTCGGCAGAATAGTAATGACAGATTTCAGTCTTAAATCTGACTGTTACTGGCACTAACTCAGTTTTTCTAGAAAAAATAGTTGTTAAAAGTGTTTGTTAAAGGTGAAAATGTATAAATCATGAAGCAGAACTTAAACATGAAAACAATCAGCAGTTTCCAGAAGCAGGCAGTGTGTGAACTCTATGTAGCATTAATTTGTTTTTGTTTCATTCAGGGTGACCTCTCTTTGTGTAAAAATCTTAGAGTTCTATATTTGTATGATAACCAAATCAGACAAATCCAGAACCTGGACTTTGCTTCAAACATAACGCACCTTTACCTTCAGAACAATTGTATTTCATGTATTGAAAATCTCTCATCGCTGAAAAACCTTGAAAAACTGTAAGTTGAAAATAATATTTTTATTTTACTAGTAAAAGACTAATTATTACACTAAGAAATTAAAAAAATTATGGAACCATTAAGGTCCTTTCAGCTCTTGAATTTTGCTTTTCAAATAAAAGTAACTGCTTAAGATGAATGCTTTTTGATGAAGCGTTCTTTGATATAAGTAATGACATCATCTTGACATATCATCTTAATGTATTTGTTTGCTTTTAAATTATTTTCTTTTTTCAGCCATTTAATTATAGGAATTAATAATAATAATAATAATAGCAATATATAAAACTGCTAAAAAAACCTTGGATTTGTTAGCTGTATGTTAGGCTTGCATGCAAAGTTACTTACTTCTTCTTCTATTGTAATTTCCAGATATTATTCAATATTTTAAAAACATTTTTTTTTATATATTGAGGCCTTGTGTTTGCTTTTACTTTCAAAGGATATTAAATCTATTTTGTGTTCTATTCTGCAGGTATCTGGGGGGCAACTGCATCACTGTAGTAGAGGGTTTGGACAAAATAGAAGGAATAAGGGAGCTACATATTGAAAGTCAACGTCTCCCTCTTGGTGAAAAGCTTCTGTTTGATCCAAGATCTCTTAGGTCCCTGGCAGTAAGTACATTATGAGAATTTCACTGTGCCATTTATCAGTAGATCAGTATTTTCAAGAGAAGTGATTAGGATTTGATCACCGTATTTTCTTCCTTTTCTGCCAATTAGTGGCATTCTTTCAAACTCTGCCAAAGATCTCCCATCCCAATTCTCATATAAGCAAAGAGTCCAGCAGATTCTACTTCTTCATTTATTTTTCTATGGAGGATGAAAATGAGAATAAAGAGAGAGAGGAAGGAAAGGAAGAAAAAGTAAGGAAATATGTGGATGCCCTATACCAACAGAATATGAATGAACTAAAAAAGCAGTAGGAATTTGTCACTGTTAGTTATCTTAGTCTACTTAGTTTGCAGTGAATTAGTTTGTTGGTATTTCTCTGATTTTATTGTTACATAGTTTATTTATGGCGTTTTGTATTTCTCTAGAGAATGAAATGGCAAAAAAAAAGGTGCAAACAGCTTTTTTTCCTGGATATTAAGAGCAACACAATCAAAAGCATTAAGTTTTAGTTCTGCAATTTTTGTATTTTGTGGTATGTCAAGACTTCAGGAAAGTCAGTTTTTGAAGTTTTCTTTCAACATGTTAATTGCTCAGTAAACATCAAGTGTATTGTTGAAATGGTAAAAAAATAATAGACTTTATTTACTAATGGATGTAGTTCTGTACTAAAAAAAAAGTATCTTGCTGTGTCTCCCAAAGCGTAGTCAGGGCTTGATAAACTTTTATTGTGAAGATGAAGAACTCACTGAAAAGTGAGTTCTTTTGTTCATGTATATATCATAACCATTTGACCTAGCTCTAATTCTTTCTGGTTTGAGATTAAGTAATCCAAGACATGTATTGCCATTTTCCTTTAATAGAAATGAGCCATTCCTGTGGGAGCACTTTTACTATGTTCCTTCTATACAGGAGAAAGGATGAAAGTAGAGGGAGGTTTGTTCTGGTTTTGACTGGAACAGAGTTAGTTTTTCTCTTTAGCTGCTAGAAGAGCTCTCTGTTTTGGATTTAGTCTGGGATTTGTTATGAGAAGAATGTTGACAGCACACTGATGTTTGTAGTTGGTACTGAGACATCAAGGACCTTTCAGCTTCCCATGTTTTTGCCAGTGTGCAGGAGCACAAGAGGCTGGTGAGGAACATGGCCAGGACAAAGGGCCCACAACTCCCCTTGTGATTTGAACTTACATTTAAGATTGAGGGCCAAATTTGGCCAATGAAGAATTCTGTGTCATGCAACGCCATGCCCAGTATATAGATGAGGGCTGACTGGGAAGAAGTGCTCTTGCTCTTCTGAGGGCTCTCTCAGACTCTCAGAGTGCTCTCTCTCTCTTGTTCTCTTTTCGGTCCTCTCGCTCATCCGGGATTGAGGTGTCAGGACTTAACTGTTTCAGGATCATTTGCCAGGACAGGACAAGTGTTGGTCACTGGGTGGTGAGCAATTACACTGTGCATCATTCGTTTGTATATATTATTCTCATTATACGTATATATATTCATAATTATTCCTTTTAATTTTATATTATTGTTATTATTAAATTGTACTTATCTCAACCCACAGGTCTCCTTCCTTTTCCCCTTTAATCCTCTTCCCCATTCCCCTGGAGTGGGGGAGGATGAGTGAGTGGCTGTGTCACATTTAGTTGCTAGCTAAACCACGACAAGGTTATACAGCTATATGGCGGGGGTGGGGAGAGAGAGAGAGAGAGAGAGAGAGAGGGTGATAACTCATATACTGCAGTGTTTTTCAGCATCCTGGCCTACAATCACTAGCAGTTTGCTCTTCTTGGCTTTTATTTAATATCTTTTGGTGTGAGTTTTATTTTGTTTTGTAAGAAACACTTTGCATTCTTGACCATGTAACATCTTTGTGGAACCTACTTGTGAAAACATTCTATTTTCATCCTTCCAGTGCCAAGTGTTTGGTCCCTCCTATGTCACTTCTTACTTTGTCCTCTTCTATCTGTTTCTGGCTCTTAATGCTGTCAAGAGATGAAAGAGCCACAAACATAGGTCCATACAGCTCTCAGTGCACCACAGGCAAATATTTTGATGATGACAATGTCATGAATCTTTTGACTAAGGAGATTAAGTTGTGCTGTGTGTATCAGGATGATACTGGTAATTTCTGCCTGCGTTGTAGATCTTGCTCAGATTTTAGAAGGGGGTTACATTTCCTGTATACAATGCTGAAACAGATGTTTTCTACCTAATGGTAAATCCTGTATATAAACTCACTGGATTAGGTGCTCTTTTTCATCTTCTAGAGATACAAGCTTCTTGTTCCTTTTACATAAAACTACATTAAGTATTTCCTGAGATACACACCTGAAACACATTTACTTTTTATCTAGAATGTAAAAATCTCTCTAACTATTGTCTGTTAAAAAAGGCAAAGTGCATTATGTCACTCACTGGTGTTCCAAAGAAGGGGCAAGGAATTAGAGGTATATATACCAAGAGATTTGTAGGATCAAGCCTGAAAGAAAAACAGCATAGTCCAGCTGTTAAATGAGACTACATGGGTATCAGAAATGGATTGCAGCTCTGTGCAGTTCAGATGTAACTTTGGAAAAGGCAGTCAATTTCTGTGTCTGTTTGGTACTTCAAATGTGAAGTTAGTAGCACTTGCAGAACTCTGTAAAGCATTTGAACATATTTAGAGAAAAACAGAAATTCTGTATTTACTAAGAATTCCTGAAATAACTGAGAAATAATCTTACTTTGCTTTGACTTCAAAACCAATATAAACAGCATTTTAGGACAAGATGGAAAGCCAATATAAACCAATGTGTGAGGTATGTGGTAGTTTTATTTGCATGGTTCTGCTTCATATGCTTGTTCTTCCTTTAAGAGTTTTCTGTAAGAATTTACAACTTGATTCATGCATGGCATGAGAAAAATAATTTTCTTTTTCTCTTTTCTTCTTCCAGAAATCTTTGTCTGTGTTGAATATCAGCAATAACAGCATTGATGCTTTAGAAGAACTGGCAGTTTTGGAAAATCTTTCTTATCTTAGAGCAGTTGACAATCAACTTCAACATATGAAGGTATTAAAATAAATGTTTGTTCTGTTTAGTATGGGTGATATGACATTAGTCAAATTCATCTTCATCACTAAATTAATGAGTAAAAATAAACTTTACTTCTACAGTTACTGAACCTCTGACTTTCCAAGCATGCTATCTTTTCTCATCCAAGAATCTTGCTGAGATTAGAAATGGAAAACCCTTTATCTAGGATGTCCAAATTTCCTTTAATCCTATGTAAAGTGGCAATTGTGCATGCATCTGTCAACTGCGTAGTAAGTGCATGGAAGTTATAACTATAATATAATATGTCTAAAATGTAGAGTTAGTGTGTGTGTCTTGATCATCTGAGTGACTATCAGTGGCTTAATTTGCAAAGATGGCATGGCCATTGTTTGTTAATTAACTTGCAATATTGTACCATATTACAGTTTTTAATTCTCTATTTTAATATAAATAAAAGCCGCTTCTTGGATATCAGATCATCTAGCTGATTTTGCAGCTGTTCTAGTATCAAATTTTGACTCTTGTTGCTGGAGTAGCATAAAAAGTATTTGTCATGAAAGTATACATTGTATTTCTTTCATAAATTTCTGCTAAGGAAAGAAATAAGCAAGAGCTCTATCTTCCACAGTAGCAGCTAAAACAAATGAAATAGAAGTATTTTTGCTCTTCCTTTTGCAGTAGTGAATGTAGTTCAAACAGAATGTTCTAGGCTTACAATTTCCAGCTTACCTTCTCAAAAAGAAACAGGAGCATGGGCCTTGTCACTTCTCATTACTTTTATAAGCCATTATGTCTTCTTCTACTTCTTGACATAAAGAGTGGTTAAAAAAAAAAATTCTAGTGTCATGCTAGTAATTTAATATCAAATTTATGTTGAACAGTATGCCAACACCATCATTGCATGGTGGAGGCATGGAACAAACTTTATAAATGACTTAATAAACACTGCTTCCATTTAATATAAACCATAGGCATCAGCGTTCTGCTTTTTTTTAAATGTCTATTTTTATTGATAAATACTAAAATGAATTGGCTTAAATTGTAAGCCAAATCACCAAGACAAAGCCTTAGTTAAAATAAATTTGATTTAATTACTTGTTTCCATATACATTCTATTTCCTGAGAAAAGTTAAATTTCATTGGTTAGTAATTATTAAAATAACTATTCTTATTACTTCTTAGAACACTTACTACCTTTTCCATTAAATTTGGCAGTTCTGTTTACTAATGGGAGATTCCAGTATTTTGTGTGCATAATCTGTCAATTATCTAGGTCAATATACTTTATTTGGCCTCTTAATTTTTTACATTTTAATATTGAAAAAATGTTGAATGATTTTATTTTTTTTACTAGAGGATTATTAATGTATCGTATTTCAAACTGTGTTTCTGGCTGCTAGTTGTGATTGAATTCATATCAAAATACAATTCATGTAGGTTTTTGCTGGGTAATTAAACCATACTGAATGTGTTCGTTACATCAAAATAACAGTATTTTTTTTTTAATAGGTAGTCTCTCCAAAGCTTCCCTTTTGAAAAGGATTCCTTTTCTAAATAAAACCTATTACAGTGATTTTAGTTTTCTTTTTTATTTCTTATAAAGACAAAAGACTTCAGTTGTGATTATCTTAAAAGAAGATTGTCCTGGCCAAAGAACCAATTATTTTTAAGAATGAGGATGCCAGTTCAGAGACAGCGTTTTCAGTGTCTCAAGAGGAAGAAACAGTATTTTCTGTAACAGAATAAGGAGGGAACAATAAGACTGCATTTTTCAGTAACTGTATATCTATTATTTAATAATTATTAAATTTCATTATTCCATCATCAGGAAGACCAGAGTTAATATTTACCCAAATCAATTAGATATTTAGATTTCCGTGTCACATGGTCGCAGACTTTGAAAAATTATGTGGTTAGCATTTGAGTTTGCTGCTGCTGCTATCAGTTACACTTGGATCAAGCTCTGGTAAGTTTTGAAAGTGACTGTCCTGTGTGTTTAATAAACAGTCTCCAAGTTTTGAAAATATGGAGCAGATAGAGTATTTCTATTCATATCTTTGCAGACCTGTAAAATTAATGACCATATTGAATGTGTCTAACATATAGTGTAATGAACCTGGATATCCAACTTTCCAGCTACAGTTACTGTGTTTTAGAGATTACATTTTAGTAGGCTTTACTTATTGCTAATATAAATTCTTTTTTAAATTAAAAAAAACACCAAAACAACAAACCTGTTGAAAAAGCAGTAGGCCATGCAAAGTATTAAAAAAAAAAAAGTCAGTTTTGTGTCTATTTAAGAGGCTTTAACTTACAGTAAACATCTATCAGGACAACAATCTTATACATCCACTAAGTGTTTAAAAAAAAAAAATCTGAGGGAAGATTTGAGTATGTTTCAATTTTTTTGAAACCCTGAACTTCATGATTCCATGGCTTACATTGTTCTACAACTGTGATAGCTAAGAGGATTCAGGGGGTATGCAATTGTACTACAGATACTTAATTGCTTCTGCTGGCTGAACTTGTTATACGCAGGAAAGGCTCTTTCATTCCCACACAAGCCACCTCCATTCTCCTCCCTCTTGCCCCTCTGTTCTGGAAACTCTGATGTATACCTCTTTTTCATGCCAAAAGCTTTATGTTCCCTGTTTTCCCATTGCTGCTTCCCCATCACTGCCATCAAGAACATCCCCAGGAATGTCTGGCATTGATCAGAGACCGTGGTGGTGCTGCATGACAGGGAAGTGTTGGGGAGCTCTGTGCCCAGCTCTGCTTCACCCGATGGGAAGAGGAGCTGTAAAGGAGCCATCCGCATCTGAGCAGGGCTGGTCAACAGCAGCGATCTGTGTATAGCAGGAATAGCATGGAATCTTTCCAAAAGAAGGAAATGTGAAAGGCATAAGAAATGCATAAAATATAATCTTCTCATGTAGACTTTTCTCACTCTTGTATAATTAGTTTAATTATTTTTATATCTAAACATTTCTCTCAGTTTTCTCACATTAATAGGAAACCCCATACTCCCTTGCTTTTCAACAATACCACATTGATTTCAGCGTAGTTGAAAATTAGGGCTAGTAAATTCAAGCTCTGAAGGTTCTGGCTAATTCAGGGCATTGTTAGCATAATTAACAGACATCACGGCATATGACCTTGTTTCACATGACTGCGGTTTATATAATGCAGTCTGAACAGTAGACAGAAAAAAATTAAGTAATTTTTCTCAATTCGTGCAAAATAGCTTACTATGACTAGCTGCCACGTGTAAAGAGCATGTCTTAGTTCAGTTATCAAGAATATAATTTATTTTAATAGCATTGGCTTCTCTTTGTTTTCTATTGCTTGCTGCTTCATTTATTTATCCTGTTGAGCTTCTGGTTTACTTTTGTCAGGTTCACAAGGACTTCTAGGCTGCAGTGTATTGGAGTTGGAATACTAAGGGAATTTTTTAAAAACACTATTCTGATTTATAAAAAAAAAATACATTCACAACTATTCTTTTTACAAAAAGCCAGAATGTTATTTATTTATTAATCACATTAGTTTTGGGAAGATTATGACTTGTGTGAGCATTTGGATAGATAAAGAAAACGTAGCTAGAAACATCTATAAAAATCTGTATTTCCTAAGTCTTTAATTTATTCAACCTCTGCCCGGTATTGATTATGACAAGAGGATATCACAAAAGATGAATTCATTCGCTTCAGAATTGAGTCAGGAACAAGAGAAAAATTATAGATTTTCTCAAACAGATTATGACAGATAGTCAAAATGGTGACAAATTGCTGTCTGTAGATGTAGTTAGGGCAGTTGGACTAGACATTTCCAATAAAAACTGGAGCATACTGGTCAAATACCAATTCTTAAATGGCCATCGTTAATTGGTAAGAATGTTATTGCCAGCACTACAGCTGCCTGCTGAGGCACTTGCCCTTCCCCCTCCCCCCCCTCCCCCAATGGAATATAATTTGCTCGTCAGTATTTTGTAGCAGACCTCAAAATGATAGCATGACATGATCATTTATCAAACGGAGACTGCCCAGAAGAGTGTCTGGTCCCTTTAGTACAGCTTATTGAAAGGCTGGGAAGTGAAAGCACTTTATTAGAGACAGGAAGGCAATGAACAAGTAGAGCGTATCGAAAGGGTAATCATATTTCAGCACAGGATTAGTGTGCTCTTAGATAAACATACACTGGAGTAAGCACGTTCTGGGTCATTTATCAAGCAAGTAACAGCTAACAAAAATCTACAGGACTCTTTGTATACATTCATCAAAGTTAAACTGTATACATTTTATTTCAGTACTAGGCAATTTTGTGTTGCAAAACTATTACTCGAAAAAATTATTTCTAGTGAAATCTAGAACACATTACAGATGTCAATGACAATGCCTGAATGCTCAGGTAAGAACAAATAAATACACTTGCTAAATACTATTTCTTTTTTAATAAGTGTAGCCTAAAATATTTTTCCCCTAAATTGTTGTGCTTGTGATTAAGTGTTAGGACTTAAACTGGGGGAGTTATCAGATTGCTATTCTGATACATGCTGATAAAGCTTTGCTCTGTAACATGACAAGATTTATCAGCATTTCTTCATGGGGACTGGTCCTCAGAGTTTCTCACATTGTTTTATCAGTCTTGCTTCTCATGGAACCAGACTTTTGCTCTCTATTTTTCTAAAAAGATATTATAATCACTGGATAACGATAGATGATATTACCATCATAATCGATAGATGAAAAATTATACGATTTGGAGGCATGAGGCTGTGCTGCCACTTCTTCTATGTGATTTTCCTAAACATGTATTATATAACGCAAAGAATATTCCCAGGAGGATTTTCCACCAAGGTAGCAGAGCCTGCAAAACCAGAATTCTTCCTGCTTGTATTACCTAGATGATTTTCTAAATTTGAAAGAGCTAAGAGATATCTGCGTCGCTAGATGCTTCATTATTGGCACCAAGCTACAAAAATTCTACAGGCTTTGCAGTTTAGAATTTGTCACATCATGATTCGTAGATTTTTTCCAAATTATTACAACTGTAGAACATAAATTCTCTCTCCTCTTGTTTTCATGCATTTTGAATCCCTCCTTAAGCTTTTCACACATATAAGGAAGCCTATCAAGAATGACAGTTAAGCGACATTTTGAAAATAAAGTATTTCAGAAAGTAGGGTGTCTGAGTAGACAGGACCAATCTGCTAAGCTTTGAATCCTTTTAACTCGAATTTATTGTATTTAAAAGACAAAAGTTTTATCTAGGTCATACTGCCCTTGGGTAACCAGACAGAAACCCAGATGGAGAAAGGTATATTTCAAAAATTTCACTGTTTGGGCCAACACTATAACTGACCACCCACAGTTATGTAGGGGAGGATTACTGTTTCTCCTGTAAAATACAGTTTTACATATATATAAATAGAGTGACAGTCTACTGTGGTTTGCATGATTTTTAGCTTTTTTAAAGTCTGTTCTTTCTCTGTAAGGCATTTATTCTTCCACAAATTTTTCAAAATCTAATCAGACACTGGTACTCTAAGGGCTCTGTGAGACCATGGGGATGCATTAACAGACATTACATGTCATGCATGTTTTTTTGGCTGACAATTCCTCAGCTTTAGGTGCTTATAAGTGGGATTGTAGTGGTAATTTTCCATAGCTGGTATTACTGTATCCTTAAAAATGCAGAGTTTTCCAACTACATCAGCATTTCTTCTGTGCAATTATGATATATTCAAGGAATGCTATGCACCGCTCTGTTTGAAAATGCACATTCTTAATGTGCATGTTAGTACATGAATAGTCTCATTGAAGTTATTTCTGTGTGCAGGATTTGGGCCTGGCTGAACAAATTGCGTTACTATAGAATTTTACTCTGGAAGGGGAAAAATAATCACAATTTTCTATTCTTGTATCAATTGCAGGATTTGGAGGTGGTATTAAACAAATGGACAAAGCTACGCAGAATGGATCTTACAGGAAACCCCATCTGCCTAAAACCAAAGTACAGGGACAGGATTGTAGTACAGTCACAAACTCTAGGTAAAAAATAAAACCAACGGCCACCCCCAAAACCCATCCATAACCCTCACTGTTTTTGAAAATAGCTGATACATTAGTCGTTCTTGAATTGCACTATGTATGTAAACACAATTACTGCCATAGATATTTATGTCAAGTGATAAATTTTTAATTTATTTACAAGTAATGTAGCTAAAACTGTTTATGTAATCAACTGCACAAACCGTGTTGCTTAGCTTTTGCTATTAGTAATAGTAATCATTTATTTTATAATACATGATCGGTGAGATTGTTGTAAGACAATAAGACTTTTTTGTGTTCATATTCCAGATGTTGTGAAACTGATTTTCAAAGTTAGGTTTAGTCTACTCCCTTATCAGCCTGTAGCTGTTGCTTAGCTGTTTTAGTTGTACACTTGCAGTTGTACAGGTCATACCTTACCATGTTTGTATTTTTATATAACATTTGTCCTTAAACTTGAAAGCGGTTTACACTTATGTTATGAATGTATTTGTTAATCTTAACCTTATTATGATGATGAAAATAACAGTGCCTTAGGACAGTTTGCCATTTGTGGCCAAATGAGGCATTTCAATTTGATCTGACTCAACAATGCAAATGCAACCAAGGAAACATAGAATATAAGCTTTATGGCACCTAAATGAGTAAAGTTAACATTAAAGATCCGAATCTGTCTGTCTGTCTTCATGATCAGTAGGATTCTTTGATTGCCAAGACATGCAGTTTCTCTCTCTTAACCTGAATTTCTGCATCTACACATATCTTGTGTAAGAGCATAGCTTTTCTTCAGAACTTTCTATAACCTGTTGCACATTAACTGCATGTGAAATATATATATTTCCCTTGAAAGTTATAAAAATAACAGACATTCTCTTTTGTAATTAAGACATGTCAACTCACTCTTGCAGCTTGAATATGAATATGAAGTTGTATTGGGTATTTTTTTTACCAAAAGACTAAAAAGAGCAAAAAGATTTGAAGAGAGCAAATATAGAATCAGTGCACATTACATACAGCTTCATACAGATTTTAGCTAACTTTAGGTTATACAGAAAACGTTCTCTTCTCTTCTCTTCTCTTTGACAGAATCTCTTGATGGGAAAGAAATTAAAGAAATGGAAAGACAGTTCCTAATGAATTGGAATGCCTCCAAAGCTGCCAGGAAAAAAAACAAAGAAAGAATGACAAATGAACATGCAGCCTATCTACGTTTTTGTAAGCAAACTAATCAATTACTTCATGTTTATTTGCAATATCGTAGAAACAACAAAATAGTGGCTAACAGTAAATATACTAAGAATGAGACTTGTACTGGTGGTGAGACCAAAACATAGGAGTAGAAATTGAACTTTTCCAATATAAAATTTAATTTCACTAGTTCGTGTGGTGTTTTTTTTCCTCCCATTCCAGTCTCCCACGATTATGGAAAGTAGTAGCTAGCACATTTTGAATGTTTGTAAATACTCATGATTGCTTTCCATATTAAAAAAAAAAAAAGAGAGAAAAAGTTTTGAGCATTCTAGAATAAATATGCATGAAATACATCACAGTTTTAAAATCTATTTGTTGATTTGTTGATACTTATTTTATCTGTGTAAATTGCCAGTCCTTTTAAAGGCCTTCACAAGACACATGTCTAGCAGAAGTAAAAGATTTAAAGTTGGAAAGGAAAAAAAAGGTATTGGAGGAAAAAACGGCTTGCACCTAAAAGAAAAGGCAACATGTTCTTGAAGCAGGAAAACAAATTAGTTTTGAAACTCAAGCAAAACCTGAAATAAACTTTGATTTTTTTTTTTTTTAAATGGCAGAATGGGGTTGTTGTTGTTATAGAGTTGAGCACAGATTAAAACATAAATGACTGAACAGCATGCCTTGCCGTCTTGCAAGATTTGGAAACAGACACTCGACTTCAAATTTCTCAAAATGGTTTGAGTGATCATATTTATAAAATAAAATTGGTGGCAGTAACGCTGTTGATCTCAGAAGACAAACTGTGATATGTAACTGGGGGGAGAGAGCATATTCTTTACAACCATATTATCTCAAGTTATTGATTGACGAGATCTCATTAAGATCAGTGATTTTTGAAGATGTGAAGTGAAAAGCACTCAGCCTGTCAGCCTCAGCACCAAGAAAGTTTGAGTCTGCTCAATATTTGGAAGCCATATGTGAATGGCAATGCTTCTGAAAGTAACATTCTGTCTTCTGAATAACTGTTGATATAAGGAGGTGCTATGCAATTGAATTTACTCCCTTTCAAATAACTTTACCTGAATAGGAATACCTGCTTTAATATTCACCTTCATCAGTGCTTGCAGCACTTTTCATAATTTCATATACTTTTCCATTCTAGATTATAAAATTTGAGTCATTTTACCCTAAGGCTTATGACACTCTTTTCTGTAACAAGATACATTGGAATCTGTGATCAGTCATACTGAATATTAAAATAGATATGGTTTGACTTGGGATATTGAATTAATCCTTTTTTCTTCGTTTTCTGCAGCTGACTTTGAAACACTTTGTCCTATTCTTCCCTTTTACTACAGTCACTCTGTGAAAGAAAAACCAAATATTTTAGTTTCATCTGAGATGCACAAAGTTAAAAGAAAACCGCTGCCAAGAATCCTGGAAAAAAAATAAGTCAGACGAAAACTCAGGTATATTCCTCAAACATCTTCCTCAGTTCTGTTGGTTATTGCTTGTACAGCTCTCACTAAATCAGCTGAAAAACAAGTACATGAAGGTAGAATTTCATCTGAAATCAGTTTCATGTTTTTTTAACCATGTTGTATTTATTGTCTTTATTTCTTTGAAAGACAGGATAACGGATTTCAGTCTCTGGTTATAAATCAGTAGTCTAGCTAATAGTAATAACTTTACTCCAGTGTTACTAGTTTCTGTCATACGCATTTGATTGCAATCTTCCATAAAGGTAAAATAATATCAACGTTAATTCTTGGAAGTACAGTTACTGTCAACAACATCGGTGAAGGTTGATCCTATGCACGCAATCATATGCAGAAGGAGAAACAATCACTTTTCATCATTATAGCTTACTTCTAATAGACGTGTTCCAGTGTATTATATACTTGATTAGCATTTTCGTGTAGCATCTGCTCAAGACCATCAAGATAATCAAGAAATCTGATGTGTGTGCCTTACAGACCTTTAGACATTAGATGAATTTAAACAATTCCAAGTTTAGCATATGTATTCCTTACATGCATAAGCAGCCTTGTGAACTCTAAAGCAACTCTTTGTGAAATAAAATCTGCTCATAGGGATTTGCAGAATGAGATCTATAGTTTTTCCAGTTTTATCTGTTGTGATAGTTTATTTCAGTATTTGGGACCTAATATCACTCCTTCCAGATTTTTAATGCTGCTTTTAACCTAACTGTTTTATTATTTATCAGCTCTACTGGCCATCAAAAAAAATCATAATTTATGCAATGCTGTAGATAAAATAAATAAATTCAACTGACACAGGGATTCTTTTGTAACTAAATTACTATATGTAGTGTTTTATTTTACATTCAAATAAGAATTTATTACCATGTTTGAAAATTTAACTGAGAAACACTTAACACTATTTTGTTCTTGACAACTTACCACTTTCCATTCCGTCAGTTTTGTTCCTACTGATTATTTGTTCTGATTGAAAATAGCTGCCTTTCCCTTGAGAAGGGAAGAATTACAAATCACAGAGCTGCTCTCTTCCAAAGAATCATTTTTGTTCTTCATATGACAACAGATATATTCCAGCCTAAAAAGAAACTGAACTTGTCATATATGTGCCCGTTCTTGATTTTTTTTTCCTGGTGCAGAAGGCACATAGCAGTGAAGAGTTTAAAAAACAAGAACTGCAGAAACAATGCACCAGTTATCACAAAATAGTATTACTACCTGGTTATTTTCCAGCACATAGTTCAGGCTTGTGAAATTTAGAAGGGTATATAGCCTAATACTCGTGCCATAAAAACATGTATTTTTTTCTTTTAATTCCATTGTACAAGTAGTTTATCCACATGCTCAGTGTTCTGTGAGCTTGCATTTCATCTTTATTAGCATTCTGTCTTTTGGGCCAGGCTGAATAAAACTACACTTTTCATTTACCATTCCCCTTAGTTCTAATAAAGGATGGAATATGCATGTACAGCACCTCCCAGAAAGTTATTTTCTTCAGTATAAGAACTGCCGCCGTCTCCTTTGATATAAAGCATTCTGATTCTACTCTGCAATGTTAAAAAGCTGTCCATTGTTGAGCTTCTTTGCTTGACAAAAATTTTCCCAGTATGAAGAAGCTGGAGTACAATCCTGGCCCTGATGAAATCCCTTTCGTCCCTAGAAAGGCAAAGATTGCATCTTCCATACTTGATTGGAGTAAGATGTCTATATTTGTTTTAATTTACATATGCAAATTAAACTATTTGAGTGAAATTTTTCTTTTACTATTAGTCTAGAAGATTTTACTCTGATTCACATGAAGTTAGAATACACTACAGTCAGATGACATACACTTAATATTTTCAAAAACCTTGTAAGTGGGCTTTTATCTTGGACACTGAAGGCTGCTGTACATTGCCATTTCATGTGTAATCACTGATCTTGAGATGTATTCTAATCTTGTTCCTAGTGGAATTCCATGGAAACCAAAGAGTCTTGAGAATTAGTTAAAGCTTTGTGAATTCTTTTAAATGTTTTTTTTTTTTGGGGGGAAAAAGCCCTCAAATTACAGAAATATTCATTCTCAGAGTATATGCAGATATGCAATAATGACTGTCGTGGTTTAGCCCCAGCCGATGACAAATCACAGTATTCCCTTGCCAGATCCAGTAATTAGGGATACGCATAAATGTGCCCACATGTAAAGCAAGGATATTTTGTCAAACTGAACAAGTACCTGTATTGTTTAATTGAAATTCAGTATCAGACCAAAGAAATTGGTGAATTTTAATTCTTCTCCCTGTGTTAGCCAAATAAATTATTCCAACAGATGTTTCCTCTTTCCATATACATGCTAGGTGATATTTGACTTTGGCAACTGAAAAACAGGCATTAAATACCTTTTTAACCTACATCTAAGATCCATTGAGGATTACATACAGCTTGAACAATGAAAAAGCCAGTTATTACTAAATTAATGAAATACGTCATTAATCTTTCTTTTTTGATGATATAAAAACAATAGCAATTTTATATCGGATTTTAAGTTAGTTTTGAACATTGAGAGAGAATTATGGATATTGGCAGGAAGTAATTAAAAGAAAACAAATCACTTAACTATTTTAAAGATACCTAATACCTTCCAATGGGATACACTATTATTAATTTTCCCTGAGTAGAGAAGCTGTTGAAATTTCGATGTTGTAAACTTAAAACTGTAATGAGCAGTTTCTGCCCACGTTTCCTTACTCGTGGAGTTAAATATCATAGTAGGTTTGCAATTCAGAGTTTGGTGGGAAAGTCACCTTTTGTCTCTCCAGTTAATGTTATATAATTGGCAATACAGTAATGTCTTTAAATGTTAAAGTCAGCAAATAATGAGTACGCCGGATTGTGCCAACTAATCGTAAGCCACTCTCCTAGCCACCACGCACATCCTGTATAGTTCAAGTTCCAGCTCACGCGGAAGGAACGTGCAGCGAGCAATGTTAGTTCTCACTCTTCTTAGCTCTTTGGCAGGTGCTCTTATCAACATTTTATTTATTTTTAAATTTTATTAACTATTTGTAAATGCTCTGAGTTGAGGTGATTTGCGTGGTCTGAAATCTATACAGAGTAATGTTTGACAACAGGTAAGAACGTACATGTTCTGTATGTATACTGGGGTTTTGTTTTGTGAATCTAACTGGCAAATAGCATTAAGGCCTGTACATGATAGTTTTTTGTGCAGGGCTGATATTGAGATAGAGTCATAGAATGGTTTGGGTTGGAAGGGACCTCAAAGATCATCTAGTTCCAACCCCCTTGCCATGGGCAGGGAAATCCTCCACTACACCAGGTTGCCCAAAGCCTCATCCAACCTGGCCTTGAACACCTCCAGGGATGGGGCATCTACAACTTCTCTGGGCATAATGATAATAATGATAATGATCATAATGATAATCCTAAAACATAACTTTTACAATCACATGTTTATTTCATATTACAGAATATAGTTCTCTTATTTGAGAGGACGGTGGGGGAATACGTTACCTCCAGGTAACATAAATCTTGTTACTGAATATCAATTTCAGCAAACTTCCGAAAATTCAAAAATAAAAAATATTTTCAGCCTTGGCTTCAGAAAAAGGAGAAATACAGAGTTAAGATACAAACCAGTGCAGTTTTAGCTGTGCACCCTAGAGCTGGTTTAGCCACTATATAGCCTACAAGCACTGCAACTGTATTGAGAATTAGGTGCATTAAATATTTGGAGATTAAATAAATATTTGGAGGACTTTGGCAGAGCTGAGAGCATGTTTTGAACAGACCTGGAGTGCCTTTTCCAGCAGCTATAGCCTGTCTCACTGCCTTTCCGTGGTGGTGAAGGAAAAATGCAAACGTCTCCTCAGTGAGGTCTAGAAGGTATCAATCAGCAATTAGTAATGAAGGCTGTGGAAGAGAAATGTAAGGAATTTACTTGCCATTGAATTACTCAGCCATGATATGGGATATGAGAGGAGTCACTGTAAGGCTAGATAAAGTGTAAGGATGACAAGACAAAGTGAAGTTCTGAAGTTAAATAGTATTGCTGAAGCAGAGCTATTTGAATGGAGATCAGGTGTAAACAGTTTCTTGTTACTGTGGCCCATTTAATGTTTCAACAGGTAATTCACCAGTTTAGTGGTTGATTCCCTTTTTTCTAGATGATATGCACTACCAGTAGAGGTGAGTGTGAGTGCATTTGTAGGATCATAATTAACGTTACAGTATTATGTATCTTCACGGTGTTTTCTGTATCCATGTTTACAGTCTTGCTGAATTAATTCAGCTGAATGTGGTGCTGAATGATTCTGCCCATGATAATTCATAATCTGTTTAGAAGGAAAAATATAACTTTCATTACAAACATACAAGATTATGTACAAACAACATTATCTTCTCTCTAAACTTAAATTTCAGTAGTGGTAATTTAAAAAAAAAAAAGTAGTTTTATTATATGTCAAATCTGTAGTACTTAACACTGCCACATCATTCAGCATCACAAAGACAGTGATAAAAGGCATCTCTTTTTGGCCATGAATTCTGCTATTTATCTGGAAACTACTGATTTGGAAATTATCTTTCCTTTGCTGTGACCACGCCTGCCCACTCCAGTTCTCTGTGCTGCTGGCTGTGCCCAAAGCTGGGAAAGGATCTAAAATATGGTAACAGAGCACATACACTGATAGACCCCCTGTGCTTGAAAAGAATAAATGTTTTTTCAAATTGCTGAGAGAGAGCATGCATCTCCTGATGAGCAGATTGCCAGCTAGACCACGTGTACTCCTACATGTCTGATTGACCAGGTATCATATAGACACATTCCTGTCAGGAGGTCTATGTCTGCTGATTGGCAAGCTGGTGGAGTGGATTTGCTTGCATTAGCCTGCTGCCTCTTCCAGGAGACACGTGCTATTTCCCAGAGCTTAGAAGACCAAATGGCACGTGCAACTT